GTGTGTACCACCACACCCAGTGAAAAAGCTTAACCTTTATGTCTGGTGTTTTATCAGATATTTATGTGTTTGGCCCCTTTCGTACCTGAAGAGACTCATTGAGTTGTGTAAAAAGTTGACTGAATTTCTTCAACAGTAGGAGAAATCTAGGCCTTCACAATTTGTTCCTTCCTCTCTGTTACAGCAGAGTTTGGTGTCAGAGCTGCCCTGGAGGACCTGTAGTAAATTCCCCTTCCCTGTCTTTTCTTTATCATTTAAGACTAAAAAGAACCAGATGTGGTGCCACATTCCTGTCATCCCAGCACTCTGGGAGGCTGAGACAGGAGGATAAAAAGTTTGAGCTCAGCCTGAGCAATGTAGAGACAGCACAATTCTATAGTTTCTTCTTCCTAGGAAAGCTTGTTCTGGAGCCAGCGGTCTCCTATCTCCAAGTACCCTCAGGTCACTTGCTGCCTGGAAGAAGACAGGGTTTGGGTCATATAGTCTGGGTTGGGTGAACTCAGCCAGGTGAGCCTTTCCAGTGCGCTCTGATGTTCTCCTGGGCCGAGAGTGCTTAGGGAATCTCCCTCCATCGCTCTAAATACTGTGCTGGGCCTGTTGTGTGAATGCATACTAATAGCATTTGTGGAGCACATATAATATGCTAAGGACTTTCCCTTTGCCTTGTTTATTGAATGTCCCAGTGATCCTGTGAGTAACTGGGATCACAGGTTTTTTGGTTTTTTTTTTTTTGTGGTACCAGGGATTGAACCCAAGGTCTCTGTTCTGTGGGGCTGTGCCAGGAGTTGGGTAGGTGGACCCTCAAACCCAAATCTGACAGCAAAGTCCCCTGTCGTCATTGGGGCCATCTGGCTTCTTAGGTGTATTTGCATGGAGCATTGCCACACAGGCTGAGGATCAGGACAGACCGTTGAGTGGACCATGGCAACTGTATGGTCAATGCCCCACCTTAGTGGGGAGCCACCCTCCCTGCTCCCACTATCGAAGCTTTGAGCCCTGCCTGCCATCCCTCAGCACCCACCTGCTGCTTGGGCCCCTTCCTTCTTTGTCAGCAGGAGTAGATTAACTCTTGCTGCCTGATTTTAAAAATAATCTTAAATTAAGAAACCTAAGTAAAAATAGTTTGCCATGCAGGTTCAGCTTCAGGAAAGGCCTCCAGCACCACCAGATTCAGGTTGCTTTCCTGCACACAGAGGTTTTTCCACTTTAACAAATGCCTGGATGTGTTTAGAAAGCACTGTGACCACCGCCCTTCCAGCCTGAGTGAGCCCTGGGCTCGTCCCAGTGGGACAGAAGGTGCCTTTCTTCCTCCTTAGCTGCCCTCTAGTCCCTGGTGCACTGTAGTTGGGGAGGAAGATCATCCCAGGGCCTCTCTACCCTCCCCTCTGGGTGTCTGGAACCCCATACATCTTTGGGCAGAACAGCCGGCTGGTCCTTGCTTGGACTTGCTTGCCTTCATCTCCACACTGCATTATCTTTTGGGACCACTCTCCTGGCATCACAGCTACTAAGAAAATACAAAAAAGTGCTCTAAGATTGCAGCAGGAAGGTTTTGGACCCATACTTGCCCTAGTGGATGTGTGGGAACCACTAGGACCTGTGGAATTCTTGATGAGCTGATAGGAGTAGAGGTGACTTGTAGCTCCCTGCTACTTCTGGGTTTGCAGCGCTTTCCCCTTTTGTGGCCTTAGTTCACTATGAACTATAGAAGTGTGATCCTTTTGACTCATCTTTTTTCTTTTTTTTTTTACAGAACCAGGGATTGAACTCAGACCCTTACGCTTGCTAGGGAAGCACTTAGTCACACTGAGCCATCTCCCCGGCCCCCTTTTTTCTTTTTTTAAAAAATGTATCAGGTACAATGTCTCTCTATGCCGCTCAGACTTGGACTCGTAGTGGTCCTCCTGTTTTCAGCCTCCCCAGCACTGGGATCACAGGCGTGCGCCACCACGTGGTCTCGGCACACTTGGGTGCAGGGCCAGCGTGGCATGTTGACTCACCTAACATCTGTGGCTGTTTTGGGGGCAAGCAGGGGTAGGAGAAAAATGGTGTTTCCTAAGTTGGGCTTGGGACAGTTGAGGCAGGAGCCAGTTTCAGAATGCAGAGACTGCTGGGATGGTGGCAGATGTGGGCCTTGGCACCTGTGAGAAGAGTGATCTTCACAAAGATTTTCTGGGTCTCTGCTCCCCTTCACTGGGGTGAGGATTCATTGGAATGGGTGTTATGGGTGGGGCTGGGAGCCAGGAGTGTGTTGCCCTCATCGCCTGGCCTGCTCAGTGAGGGCACATGGGTGCTCAGTAGAGTGTTACTTTTGCCGCCAGCTGGGCGTGGTTCTCTGCACAGGAGTGCTAGGCAGCTATTGGCTGCCGTGATTGGCTGGCAATGGAGGCAGTGTGGGGAAAGGCGGGTGGGCACAGCCCCAGGACGTGCCTTTTCCTGTGGGCACCTGAGGAAGGGCAGACCGCCTTGATATTCAACACCGTCGGGAAGATAAGCAGGTGTAGAAGGGCCTGAGCTTGCCAAAGCCACTTCCTTTGTGTAGAACAAAAACACTTGTTTTCTTTTTTAAAAGCCGCTGTCTAACCAGTAGCTAGTCATCCTAGCTATTCGGGAGGCAAAGGCAAGAGGATTATTGCAAGTTTGAAGCCATCCTGGCTAATTAGTGAGACCTTGTCTTTTAAAAAGAAAAATTGTTTATGTATTTATTTATTTTGGTATTGGGGATCAAACTCAGGACCTTGCACTTCCCAGGTGGGCACTTAACGCTGCTGAGCTATCTCCCCAGCCCCCAAATGTTGATTTTTTTTTTTTTTTAATGTATTTAGTAAGGGTCTTACAGGGTGTCACTACACAGATTGGACTTGTAGTGATCCTCCTGTTTTCAGCCTCCCAAGCACTGGGATTACAGGCACACATCATGCCCAGTCTCAAATGTTGAATTTTTAAAAGGACTGAGAATGTAGTTAAGTGAGAAGAGTGCTTGCTTAACATTCATGGACACTTGAGATGAATCCCTGATACAGGTTTTTTGTTTTTGTTTTTGTTTTTTAAAGGGAAAACTCAGTTGGAGAAAGATTGTAAGCTCTAAAATGAAAACTTTGTAAATTTGTAGTAGAATGTCAAATCTTTGTGAATCTAAAATTATTGTAAGCTGGGCATGGTGGCACTTATCTGTAATCCCAGTACTTAGGAGGCTGAGGCAGGAGGATAATTGCGAGTTTGAGACCAGCCTGGGCACCTGGGATTAAACTGTGACTGCTGCACTAGGATTACTGTGTGTGTGTGTGTGTGTGTGTGTGTGTGTGTGTGTGTGTATAACCAGGGATTGAATTCAGGCCCTTGCGCTTGCCAGGCAAGTGCTTATTCTACTGACCTATTTCCCCGGCCCCTAGGATTACTATTTTTAAAGAGGAAAAAAAACAAGACCAAAGATAAAAGGGATTTTTATTTTTTGGAACTGGGGATTGAACTCAGGGCCCTGAGCTTGCCAGGGAATTGCATATTCCACTGAGCCATCTCCCCGGCCCCAGGGATTATTTTTTTAAAAGTTCCCATTGGTCCATCATTTCATAATGGTTAAAATATTTACTATTCTAAAAGTGTGTGAATTTTAATCTTTTTAACCAGTTCTTATTTTTGATTTTTAGAGACAGCCAAGGCATAGTGCCTGCCTGGCAAGTACAGAATCCTGAATTTGATTCCCAATACCAAAAATTAAAAAATGGTTCTTAAATTATTTGTGGTTGGGCCAGGGAGATAGCTCAGTGAATAAGATCCTGAGTTCAATCCCCTGTACACCCCCCACACACACACAAAATTATTTGTGGAGGTTAGAAGTAGCACTTTGTTGGTATCTTTGTGGTTGGCTGTCACATTAATACAGATTTTTGTTGTTGCATTTGGAGATAGCTGTATAGTTTGCTCTGTAGTTCAGGCTGGCCTAGAATTTGTGGCAATCTTCCTGGCCACCGCCTCTTCAGTGCTGATTATAGGTGACCACCACCATGACTGGGTAGTTGTTGTTTTTTTTTTTTTTTTAAGAGAATTAAAAAAAAAAAACAACCAGAATTTCAAACAGTGGTAGCAAATTAGCAGTGGTTGTTACATTGTATATTGTCTTCCTCTCCCCCTTTCTCTCACTTAAAAGTATGGTCTCTAGTTATCTCCATTTTGGGTAGGATAGATTTTAATGGTGCTACTTACTGTTGAGTCAAAAGGGGGACCACTTTTTCTTGGGACACTGTGAGGCTAGCTCTTCCATTGACACCCCCCCCAAGTTTGAGCACAGAGCCCAGTAATCACTAGCTCAAATCTGCTCACTCAGACCCTTCAGGAATGGTAGTGCCACAGAGTTCCAAAAGAATTTTCCTTTGTGAGTCCCGTGATTTAGGAGCCCTGAATGTGATAATAACTCTGGCATAAGTTTCCCTCTCCAGGGGAGGGCATATGTGTGCTCTGTAGGAGTCCGTCCAGCTCAGAGTCTGATTTGGGGGATTTTGGCTACTGACTTTATACATTATCTATACATGATATATTCAGGAAGAGGCTGCTGAAACTGTTAGTAGTGAGTGAGCATGTCTTCTCTCCACTATGGCTACTGCTTTCGGGTAGGGTGGGGATGGTCATCAGGGGGAGGAGATAGCAGTGGCCTGCACATCAGCTCTGTAGCCATTTATGTTTCCCTTGTTCCCACAGAACATTCTGCTCCAGCCAAGGTGGTGAGGGCTGCTGCTCCTAAACAGCGCAAGGGTAGCAAGGTAAGGAGTAGGAGAAGACAGACATCCATGAGGATGTGCTGAAGGTGGTGTCCCTTTCATGTTGTAAGTGTTCTGGGCTGCCAGGTAGTCAGGGATCCTGTCTACACAGCAGGGCTGCCCAGTGTGGGTGGTTCTAGTGGACATAAAGATCTAACCCCTTAATGCTCAGTGGAACTGGACGTTAGATGAGTGACCGAGGCAGGGTCACCCTTGAGCCTCACAGAATTTGCCTTGCAGGTTGGTGACTTTGGAGATGCAATCAACTGGCCAACCCCTGGAGAGATAGCCCACAAGACTGTACAGGTGAGTCTGTGAGGAGGGGTGGGCAGTTTGAACTATTTGTACATAAATACATTGAGCTTTACAAGCTTCGAGAGCATTGGGTCTTTGTAGAAAGGAGTAGTTTGTCAGGCACGGTGGCACACACCTGTAGTTCCACCTACTTAGGGGGTAGGGGCAGGAGAGTCACTTGAGTTTCAGGAATTTGGGGTCAGCCAAGGCAGCATAGTAAGATCCCATCTCAAAAGAAAAAGTAGTAGTTAATATAACATGGGCAACATTGAAATAGGTAGAAGTTGTCATCATTGAGCCGTCTTTCAGGGACTCAGAGCTTATGAGACTTCTAAAAGTCATTCATCACATCTTTATGGCCAAGTGGAGGTCATGTAGGCTAGTGGATTTTTTCGTAGTTGTTTTGGACACAGGGCCTCACTATGTATTCCAGTCTGGCCTCATACCCGCTCTGCTACCAAGGCCAGCTTCAACTTGGAGCGCTCCTCCTGTTCAACCTCCCAAGTACTGGGATTTCAGAGAATGGGTGTGGAGCCAAGCATCAGCCTTCAGCTTGAGGAAGCTTGAGTAGCTCCTTCCTGGTCAGTTCTTTTCTCCCAGGATTTTTGTTGTCTTGTTTGTTGGCTGTGACCACCTTCATCAGATAAAGTCCTTTTTAGAACTGATACAGACAGGCCAGAGGTCAGCACAACTTCCACCCTGTAGACAGCGAGGACCATGTGGTATCCCAGCTGCTGGGAGTACACCAGGCTCCTGTGGGCCCGAGCACCCATGCTGGGGTTTGTGTCACTTAGACTCAAGTAAGCAGGAAAGACGTTATCTCTCCTGTTAGCCTGTTTGGCCCTGTATCTTAGCAAAAGCATTTCAAGTGCTTTTGAAGGCATCCAGTCCAGTGTGCCATCCCATGCCACAGCTCCTCTGTGTCCTTAGTGACAAGGAGCCCCCTCCCTCCGTCTTCAGAGGTATCACACGCTCCCTTCTTGTCACTTTGCTTTTTGCTACAGCCACAGACTCATAAGCCTCAGCCTGTACGCAAGCTGCCACCCAAGAAGGACATGAAGGAGCAGGAAAAAGGAGAGGGGAGTGACAGTAAGGAGAGCCCAAAAACCAAATCTGATGAATCAGGGGAAGAGAAGAATGGGGACGAAGACTGCCAGCGTGGTGGGCAGAAAAAGAAAGGTAAGTGCCTTGGAGCCCTAGGAGAGGCACAAGGCAGAGGGACATGTCAGCCCAGGTCCTCGAGAACCTGATGCTCTGGAGAGTCAGAGCAGCCATCCTGAGTCCATCGGTTCCTCCTCTTAAGGACAAGGATTTTCATTGCCTGGAGAATGTCCCTAAACCTTCAGAAATGGTTAGGCTACAGGTTCAGTGACTCCAGAAGAGATCCCACACAAGCTCAAAGGTTTTATTTCTCATACATGGCAGCTTGTTGCGAGCAGGCCCAGCCTTGTATGGCAAGTCTGGCTCCTTTCATCTTGCTGAAGCAGGTTGGCTCTTCATCATCCAAGATGGCTGCTTGCAGGAAGAGAGAAAGGAAAGGCAGCTCCCTTCCTTTCTGGCACTCCATGTGGGATTAGCTACTTCATAACTAACAGCATTTTGCCTGATGAGTGGGTGCTATAGTGTTTACTTTGGGCAGCCATGTGTCTTGCTATTCTCTGATCCTGGAGAAATCAGTATTGGAAGTTAAAACCTCTGTCACAGAGGGCCACTGAATGCCTTGTTTTAGAGATGGAAAAGAGGGCTAGTGTATGGGAAAAGTTGTCACATGTCATCAGATTGTAGTTTGAGCCAAAGTCCTGAGCAGAAGAGCTGGATGTGGAGGACTTCTTTTAAGCCTTTCTCCCATGCCATCCCTTAGGGAGCAAACACAAGTGGGTTCCATTGCAAATAGACATGAAGCCTGAAGTACCCAGAGAGAAGCTAGCCTCCCGGCCCACTCGTCCACAGGAACCAAGACACACACCTTCAAACCGTGTGGAAATCAAAGGTACGCACTTGCCCACTTGGGAGGCCTGGCCTGGAGGGATACTGTGAGCCCGACACCATGCCCTCTGTCCACAGGGTCTGAGGCTGCCACCTACATGCCTGTGTCTGTGGCCCCCCCCACCCCAGCCTGGCAACCAGAGACCAAACCGGAGCCCACCTGGCACGACCAGGACGAGACGTCGAGTGTGAAGAGTGATGGGGCTGGTGGGGCGCGGGCTTCCTTCCGTGGCCGTGGACGGGGGCGTGGTCGAGGCCGGGGACGAGGCCGGGGTGGCACTCGAAGTACGTGAGGCCCCTTTGGGCTCCGGGATGTCATGGGAGTGCGGCGGGGTGGTGGGCCGAAACCTTCTCTTCCTCACATGGCGTCTTTCTCACAGCCCATTTTGACTACCAGTTTGGCTACCGAAAGTTTGATGGTACAGAAGGACCTCGCACCCCTAAGTACATGAACAACATCACGTACTACTTTGACAATGTCAGCAGTACCGAGCTATACAGTGTGGACCAGGAGCTGCTGAAAGACTACATCAAGCGTCAGATGTGAGTGCGTGGGCGGAGGTGCCAGGGCTGCCAGGGGTGCTGTGGCCAAGTAGTGCTAGGGGACCCCCCCGGCCTTAGCTGCAGCTGTGAGAACTAGCTTGCCTCTTGTCCTTTAGACTGACTTGCTGTTGTCTGTTACAGAAATAACAGCCCTACTAGCCTTAATGAAGTAAGCTACCACTAATACAGAGGAAGAAAAACTCCCAGAACCTGTCTGTGCTTCCATTTGTAGTGACTGCATTGAATTGATAATAGCAAACATTGCTTGAGTTCCCCCATTACCTTCACATAGTGTTAAGTGCTTCATAGGCATTGTCTTATTTAATCCTATACTTTGATCCTCAGAATTCCTATGAGCTGGGTCTTTCGTCCCCATTTTAGATGAGTCAGCAGGCCTAGTAACTTGTCCACTAATGTGTAACACCAATTTGAATCCATTTCTTTCTGATGGCAAAATCTTTGCTGTTAACTACAGTTTACTGGACAAACCACGTAAGAAAACAGGTCATTATAGTAGGGTGTTCCAAGTGTTTTAGGAGCAGAAAATAAATGACTGACAACATTGGGACTGGATTTTAAAGGAGGTGAAGAGTTTGCCAGACATGCTAATGGGGGTGGAAAGGCAAGAAAGTGATTTGACTTAGAAGGGCCATGAAGGGAGAGCATCATTTCTGTCCCAGCCCTCACTGTGCAAGCGGATGGGACAGGTGACTGTTGGTTTGAACCTGCCTGGGTAGACAGTAGAGCAGGGAAGACACACTGGTGTGATGTGTAGCCATTGCTCAGTGATCTCCCTTCTCCACTCAGTGAATACTACTTCAGCGTGGACAATTTGGAGCGAGACTTCTTCCTGAGACGGAAGATGGATGCTGATGGCTTCCTTCCCATCACCCTTATTGCTTCCTTCCACCGAGTGCAGGCCCTCACCACTGACATTTCACTCATCTTTGCGGTATGTCTACTCGTTCTGAGAAGTAGTCCTGAAATCTGGTTAGCTTCCTTTCCTCCTTTCTCTTCTTATTAGAGATGGCTATTTTACAAAAATAGGACAGTAAAGTGAATGTACCACTATATGTATATCACCTTCCAGTCAGTTTTGTTCCATTTATCTTAGGATCTATGTCCTCATAGCTGTGTAAGTTTAAAGATAATCCTAGGGAACCTAGCATTTCATCCAAATGTTTCAATGCAAAGACTTGTTTTAAAAACAACCACACCAAATTAAAAAAGAAAAACCTAGAAATACTAGCAATTTGTTAGTATCACCAATACTCAGTTTCAAATTCATCTCAGTTGTATGGCACCCTTCCACAGTATATCAAGCTTTCCTTTCCCTCTCACTTTCTTTTTTTAAAATTTATTTATTTATTTATTTGTGTGTGTGTGTGTGTGTGTGTGTATGTGTGGCCAGCTCAGCCCACCAGGGGGCGGGGCTGGCTGGCATGTGGTGCTGGGGGATTGAACCGCGGTCCCTGTGCTTTGCTAAGCTTGTTTTAAGTAGGTGCTTTAGACCACTGAGCCATCTCACCAGCCCATTTTTTTTTTTTTTTTTGGCGGAACCAGGGATTGAACCCAGGCCCTTGCGCTTCCCAGGGAAGTGCTTATTCCACTGAGCCACCTCCCCGGCTCCCTCTCACTTTCTTATGGCAGTTTATTACATTTGTAAACTGGGCTGTGTGTTCAATAAATTTTCCCAGGAGACAGAGGAATCATTCAACATACTCATCTATACTCTCAGTTTTTGCTATATTAGTGATCTAAAGCTAGGAGCACATTTAGGTTTTTGAGTTTTTTCCTCTGCTTGTCAAGAATATTTCATAGATAATAATGTGTTCTCTCAGGTAGCATGTAATATTTCATTTGTTGGGGGGGTTTTTGGTGGAACTGAGGATTGAACTTAGGCCCCTGCGCATGCCAGGCAAGTGCTTATTCCACTGAGCCATCTCCCAGTCCCTGTTGTTTCTTTTGTGATAGAAGCTGCTCTCATTTATCATTTCCTATGGTTTTATTGTGGTGATATTCTCAATCTTCATTTATTATGTCTAATACCTCATTAAGAAAAAAATTTTGCTTCATCATTTATTCATTAATGGCTTGTTATGGTTTATGTAGTTGTCCTCCTAAAGCCTCATGCAGTCATGGGGCAGCTTCTGGAGTTTGTGATTGATTATTGGGGGTATGGGTGCTGCAATCACCCTGGGGCAGGTAATCTGCTTTGCAACCTAAGGAGGAGAGAGGGATTTCCCTTTGCTCTCTTGCTCTTTGTCACCTCCATGAACGGCTTCTCTGTGCTGTGTGCTGCTCTGCCTTGGAGCCAGCTGAGTATAGACTGAAACCTCTACTAACTGTAAGCTAAATAAATCTTTCCTTCCTTCATTTTGGGTGTTGAGTATGTTGTCCCTGCGACAAGAAAAGAGTAACCGAGACAGAATTTGGTACCATGAGTGGGGTTGTTGCTGTGGCTAAACCTGAGGATGTGGATTATAAGCCTTTAGGATGGTGTATGGGAAGAGCTAGGAAGGGTTTGGACATGCGGCCTATAAGAGAAGTGCTGGAGCAGCTTTGGCTGTTTTGTACGGGAGATTCTGGTCAGAGCTCAGACCAGAAGGTTGGTAGAAATATTGCCTATAAAGACCAGGCTGGGAAGGTTTCTGCTGGGAAGAAGGACTTCATTTGTTGTTGGACTCTAGATGATGTGTTAAGGGTTGGCAGAACGTTTGTCTGCATTTTGCTTACGTCTAGAGGCTTTGCCTGAGAATAAGTATGGTGCACAGATTAATCTTTCAAAAGAAATTTCAAAGCAGCTGAATGTTGAAGCAGTAGCATGGCTATTGTTGGGGGCTTTTAGTCAGATTTATATTGAGAATCAAGGGCAAGGAGCCCAGCAGGATGATTTAAAATGTTGTGAGTTTAGCTAGAAAGGAATCAAAATAAAGCTGTGGCCTGCAAAGTTAAGATAGAACTGAGAGGATCTCCATTGCCGAAAAGGAACTAGAGAATGGAAAGGATGGCCTGAGGATATCACAGGAGGCAGCAGGTCTCCAGCCTTTGCAGCCTTAGAATTGCAAGGGTGAAGGACTTTGCCTTCAGGGGAAAGCTGCAGAGCCCTGTGTTTCGGCAGCCATGCCAGGTTCAAGAATGGCGCTGGCAGGGAGAATTCATTCCTTGGAATTAGGGTCAGAGTGCTCAGCAATCCAGGCACTGAACCCCTACAGCCAAGAGAGAACACCTGGCTGCTGCTCCAGCTGGCAGCCTACCTTTGCATCATGCATGTGGCCTTGGTTTTAGGTGCTTGCAGAATGCAGGAGCTCTAAGGTTAAGGCTTCCACCTAGGTTTCAGAAGGCCCAGGAGGCCAGTCAGGGTGCCCCTGGAAGGGCAGTGTGTAAAGCTGTGAGGTTTGGAAAAGCCAGGAATATGGATCATCTAAAAGAAACTGCAAGGATGGAGCAAAGCTGGCCTAAGAGAGAATCCATGGGAGCTAATACCAAGAGTGACGTAAGGGCGGAGCCATGTGGAGTTCATAATTTGCCACAGATTGCTTCAGATGTTCCATGTGGAACTACAGGACTTAATGTTGGCCCTTGGGTTTTGGACTTGTGTTGGTCCCAATGCTTTGTATTCCCCTGTGCATGTACCTTTTGGAATGGTAAGCTTTTTCTTGTGCCATTGTATGTTGGAAGTGTTTAAATTTTTATTTGTACCAGGGCTCACAGCTAAGAATTTGCCTTAGATGTTGGAGGAGACTGGGACTTGGGCTTTTTAGCAGTGCTGAAACTGTTAGGACTTTGGAAACTCTTAGAGATGGACTAAAATAAAATGCCTTTTGCATAAAGGGATGTGCAGTGAATCTGGGGACCAGGGGGTGGAATGTTACAGTGTTTGTCTGGTTGTCCCCCTAAAGCCTCATGTAGTCATGGGGTGGCTTCTGGAGTTTGTGACTGATTATTGGTGGTGTGGGTGCTGCCTTCACACTTGTGCAGGTAACTTGGGGAGAGAAGCTAGCTAGTGCTAGAGCTGCTACTTCTTCCCTTTGCTCGCTTGCTCTTTGCGACCACCATGAACAGCTGCTCTGTGTCGTGTGCCATTCTGCCTGGGAACAGGTGAGTACAGACTGAAACCGCCACAGTCTGTGAGCTAAATAAACCCTTCCTTCCTCAATTTTGGCTGTCAGGTGTTTGTCCCAGCAACAAGAGAAGAGTAAACAAGACATGGTTGTATAGGAAGGGCAGATAAGTGGTCTATTTTTTTTCATTTTATGAATTATTTTCAGTATTAGGAGTTAGAAGGTGACCACTGAGATGTTAAGAGTTTTTAGGGGAGTGGGGATTTAGCTCAGTGGTGTGAGTTTCATCGTTTTAGTATTGCTTATTATTATAAACACGTAGTTTGAAGCATTTATTTGTACCCATTGCAGTTAATATCGTGGATCAGATGGTTGTGGTGGCACATTCGTATAATCCAAGCACTTGATAGCCCAAGGTAGGGAGGTCATTGTGAGTTCAAGGCCAGTCTGGGCAGTGCAATGGGTTCAGATCCAGCCTGAATTGCACAGCAAGACCCTGTCTCCAAAAATACATGGGTCAGATTATCCCATATTTGGACAGTGGGACTGTAATTAATCTGTTCCAGATCAGAAAATTGGTTATTTTTTATAGGGACTCTAGTTCTTTGGGAGGGTGGGGGCAGTCCTAGATGATGTATAGTCTGAGTTATAGGAGTGCTAACTGCCCCTTGAGCACTTTCTTACAGGGCTTTGGGGTAAGATAAAGTACAATGTGAGGTTGTACTGATACGTTTTAATTAGAAGGAGGAATGTAGGTTTTTTACCTAACACTAAAGATGTTTATGTGTTTTTCTTGTGTCCTTTCTCTCTTGCCAGAATTTCCTAATGGCATCAGTGTGATTATTTGCTTTATTCCACAGTATGTGCACATTATTCTTATAACATCTCCACGGTAACTGATTGTATTTTAAGGTTGGCCTTCAACTTGATACTTACTAGTTTCACCTCATACTGAAGTTTTAGGGATTGTGTCCCCCACCCTCCATAATTTTTTCACTTATTTTTCATTTATATAAAATACTTAACATAGTTCCAGCATAGTGTATTCATATGAATCTAACTTACTTAAATTTTGTCACTTTATCTTTTCTGCTTTTCCTGTGGGTCACCTTTCCTAAATGTTTCCAGTTTAAAAAAAAAAAAAAAAAAAAAGCTAATGCTCCTACATATATTTCTGTTCTTTCTTGACCAGTGGTTACAAATATACTATTTATTAATTTCTTCAGTTGTTTTGTTTTTTCTGTGTACACCTGGGAATTCACTTGTAAAATAGTATTTTTAAGGAAGGGTCTACAGGGTGTTCAGGGTCGCACTACTAGTTAGGACTCATGATCCGCCTGTTCAAAGCCTCCCAAGGGCTGGGATTACAGGCACACGCCACCACGTCCAGTGGTCTCAGCCTGCCCTAGAGGTAGGGCCCGCACGGCAGGCCCAGGAATCAAACTCCCAGCCCCTGTGCCTGCTTGCAGGCACTTTAATCCACTGAGCTATTTGGCCAGCCCTGCAAAATAGTATTAATATTCCTCATTATTAAAGTTGCTTCATACACCGTTGTGTGATGCTCCACGGTTTTCTTTTTACCGGCCATACATACCTTTCGCTGTATCCACTTTTATTAATGTAGGAACTGCATTAGTGCTAATGAATATCCTTATATATTTTGCTTTTCTTTGAATTTTATTTTTTTGCCAGTAATCTTTGATGTAGAGTTTTAAAAGTAGGATGGCTGGATTAACACTGAATGCATCCATAATTCTGCTAGATACTGCCTAATTACCTTATCAGTTATCTTTGTATTCTCAGCAGTATACAAAAATGCCTCTTCTTTAGCTTCATTAACAGAGTATGTTATAAAATATTCAGTTTCCTCTTTTATTTATTTATTTATTTTATATATATTTTTTTAACATTTATTTCGTGTGTGTGTGTGTGTGGCCAGCTCAGCCCACCAGGGGGCGGAGCTGGCTGGCATGTGGTGCTGGGGGATCGAACCGCGGTCCCTGTACTTTGCCAAGCTTGTTCCAAGTAGGTGCTTTAGACCACTGAGCCATCTCTCCAGCCCTCCTCTTTTATTTATTTAAAACATCTCAAAGTTTTTTTAATAATAAACTCTACAGTGTCTACTCTAATTTTCACTCTTTCCTAGAGCTAAGACACTCACAGTAGGTTCTTGTTGCCCGTACAAAATAGCAACACTCACAAGTTAAGGGAGGAAAGGTTTATTTTGGCCCATACTTTGTTAGAGATCTCATTCTGTAGTTGGCTGACCCCCAGGCAGGGTGGTGTGGCACAGGTGAAGCAGCCTGTGACAGAGAAGGCTGAAGGCAATGGGGTAGCAGTAGTAAGCCTGCCTTTCCCTTTGACTCCATTGTCTCGGTTACTTTTCTGTCCTTGCTGGGACAAAGTACCCAACACCCAAAATTAGGAAAGGAAAGGCTTATTTAGCTCACAATTTGTGGAGGTTTTAGTCCATGACAGAGGGCAGCCATTCATGGAGGTGGAAAACAGCAAAGAGCAAAGGGAGGAGCAGCACCTGCAGCATCTAGCAAGCCTCTTTCCCTCCTTCCCTCCCTCCCTCCCTTCCTTCTTTCCTTCCTTGTTGACTGCAAAGACTGGAGCTCCTCTGAGGAAGTGGTACTATCCATCCTTCCTCAGTTCCCTTTTTTAATCTTGTAAGTGCTGAGTCACTCTGGGGTGGGCCTTCCATGCCCTAGGGAGGAGTATGGTTCTTGTGTAGTCTCTACCTTTGCCTTCATACTTTGGTTTAACTACAATCCTTTTTAAAGAGCTGAGGCCAGAACAGCAGGGAATTCAGGGAATGAGCAGGCAGGAAAGATCAGGAGCTAGTCATGGTGATGAAAGAAATGAGAGAATACAGAATTCTGTAGTACAAGGTCCTCTCAGGCTTCATGAGCCCTAGGATGTGGAATTGCTGAGCCAATTTAGTTTAACTTTTGACTTCTCAAGTTAACAGAATGTATGAACCATTATGTGCATCCATACTACAAGCCTATTGGCTAGTGCCACCCACCCCCTAGGGTTACTAAAATTCTAGCACATTCAGCATGACTAAAAAGTCCAAGTTCTCTTGAGATTCAAGGCAAATTCTTAGCCCCTCCTCTTATAAAGATGAAAAGAAGGCAAAATTTACTTCCATCAATACCAAGGAATAAGATAAACATTTCCATTCTGAAAGTGATGAGACCAAAACAAGACGAGAGTCTAGCAAGGCAAACATTAAATCTTACAGTTCCATGGCCAGCATGTGAGGCAATACACCATAATGATAGTTTGAGTTTATCTGTGCTTTTACTTAAAAATTTAAACACAAAATAAATTTTCTATGCCCTGCATTGTTCCATTGGTGTAAGGGGTACTAGGGATTTAACCCAGGGCTTCACACCAGTGCCATATCACTGAACTGTATCCCCTGCCCTGTTTTTTTGCGGAACTGGAGATTGAACTTGTGCCCTTGCGCTTGCCAGGCAAGTACTTATTCTACTGAGCCATCTGCCCGACCCCCTATTTTTTCTTTCTTTCTTTCATTTACTTATTTATTTATTTTTTGAGGAATGGTTTTGCTAACTTGTTTGGACTGGCCTTGAACTTGAAATCTTTCTGCCTCAGCCTTTGTGACCTAGATCATAGGTGTGTACCACCTAGCCTGGCTTACACCTGCATTTTTTACTGTATTTTTTTGTATTTTTCACTTGGCACTATCATTGTGAAGCTGTTTTTTTGTAAGTGTCTAAGTAGTATTCCATTAAATGGCTGTACCATAAAAGTTTCATTTTTAAAAACTCAAAATATTGGTATGGGGAAAAGAACACAAAACCCTGCTATTTTGTATTGTCTTTTGTCCAAATCTTAACATCTTAACAAATAACCATCACTTATTTAAGTGTGCTCTAGTTTACTAAGAAAATTGCAGAGTCAGCTGGCTGGTGTGACTTCATGTTGGTCTCCTACAAGTTTGAACATTGTCTTATGTCCCATGTCTGCCAGTCATGCAAGAAAGCACCAGATTTTTTTTTTTTAATTTTATTTATTTATTTATTTATTTTTGTGTGTGTGTGTGTGGCCAGCTCAGCCCACCAGGGGGCGGGGCTGGCTGGCATGTGGTGCTGGGGGATCGACCTGCAGTCCCTGTGCTTTGCTAAGCTTGTTCCAAGTAGGTGCTTTAGACCACTGAGCTATCTCACCAGCCCCAAGCACCAGATTTTTAATAGTAGTGCTAGTGTGGAATTTAACACCCAACTTCGTGGGGACCTGGTTGTCTAGCACCTCCAAGACCTCAGCTTGTCCTAGTCTTTTCTCCTTACCCCTTTCCTCTCCTCTCTGTAGGCCCTAAAGGACAGCAAGGTGGTGGAGATTGTTGATGAGAAAGTCCGCCGGAGGGAAGAACCTGAGAAGTGGCCTCTTCCAGGTCCTCCCATAGTAGATTATTCACAGACTGATTTTTCCCAGCTTCTCAACTGCCCTGAGTTTGTTCCCCGGCAGCACTACCAGAAGGAGACAGGTAGGTCCACTCCAGCTTGTCGATGCCCCTCCTGTCTTTGTCCTCCAACTTGTAATCCTCCTTGGAGCTGGTCTCAGGGGAACTGAAATGATGACATCACCTCTCCCCCTTTAGAATCAGCGCCTGGCTCTCCTCGTGCAGTCACCCCAGTGCCAACCAAGACGGAGGAGGTTAGCAACCTGAAGACACTGCCCAAGGGCCTGTCTGCCAGCCTGCCTGACCTGGATTCCGAGAACTGGATTGAAGTCAAGAAGAGGCCTCGGCCTTCCCCAGCACGACCCAAGGTATGTAAGGACCTATTACCTGCCTTGGGTTGCAGCCACCTGGCTTGCAGTCCTGGGAGATGTGCAGTGGGACTAGAGTTCTGGCTTGGACAGCAGAGCAAGTCGTAATACAAGGTTGTGATACAGTTGACATCATCTGTAGTGACTACGGCAGGGTTGACATGACTCATTTTCATTTTCAGTTAGGATACCCTGCTGTGTGTTTCTGCTTTGAGGGTAGTGGTGAGGTGTTGCTGTTACTGTTGTTGATGACAGGGTCTAGCTAAGCTGCCCAGGCGGACCTCAACCTGTCCAGTTCTCTTGCTTCAGCCTCCCAAGTAGCTGGAATTAACACACATGCTCTTACACCTGGATAAGTGGCTTTTTGATAGGAAGAGGTCATGTAGCATCCAACAGCATGGCTCGTTCCTTGACTCTTGGCTGTTCTTCTTACCTCCTTTAATTCCAAGGGACTGCATTTTCAGTTCCTTTCCCTTGAATTTGTCTTCAGAGTCCCAAACAAGCCCTCAGGACTTTAGAAGAGGAAAAGGAGAGAGCAGGTGCATGGCCCAGATACTATCATATACTCCATTCATTGATTCTGGACTAAAAAACAAGGAAGCTTGTTGAATGCATCAGGGGGCTTCAGTTCCTCAGTCTTACAAGTGTGTCAGTAGATAAGGTGGAATCCATTGCTAGAGAATGTTTCAATCTGAGACTAAAATCAACACCTCCTCCTAAGCCACTCCTACTGATGGCCTCTTCAGGGCTCATGAAGCCTGAGAGGACCTTGTACTACAGAATTCTGTATTCTCTCATTTCTTTCATCACCATGACTAGCTCCTGATCTTTCCTGCCTGCTCATTCCCTGAATTCCCTGCTGTTCTGGCCTCAGCTCTTTAGAAAGGACTGTGGTCAAGCCAGAGTCATGAGGAGAAAGGTAGTGACTACGCAAGGACTTCACATGATCTGGGCCTACCAGCTTAGAAGGGTGTGGAAAGATGGAGCCATCATTCCAGTCCCCCCTGAGGCCAGCTCCATTGAAGAATTGGAGCTCCTCCTCCAGCCTGGCCTGGCTTGAGCCTCAAAGGAAATTAATTTGGAGTTTGGGGGGCAGAAGCTCTTTGCAGATCCAGGGGATTGCCTTTTGGATAGATGCTGTGACCAGTGCTTCTCGGTGGTGGATAAATTCAGTCTTTCAACATTCAGAAATATTTTTCCTTGCTAAAGGAATACAGTTTCTTTTGCTTTGGGTCTGTGTTCTTTCTGCCCAGAATACTCTGTCTCTGCCATCATCAGGCTTATTTATGTTCATCCTTTCTTAGCTGCTTTTTCAAGGGGCCTTCACTGACCACCTCCATTCCCAGTGGCCTAAGCGCTCTTTCTGTGTCCTTTCAGAACTTCTGTTCGATGCCTGCGTAGTGTTACATTGCAGTTGACTAATTGGTTGACTTTTTTTCTCCCACTGAATTGCAAGCTTCTTAAACATAGGAACCAGGGCTGGGGAGATAGCTCAGTGGAATAAACACTTCCCTGGCAAGTGCAAGGGCCTGAATTCCAGTCCCCGGTTCCACCAAAAATAAATAAATAAATAAATAAATAAATAAATAAATAAATAAATAAATGACCAACCTTATAAAATTAAACATAGGAACCATGTCTTACTCATCCTTCTGCTTTTAGGTTTTTTCATAAAGCCTGGTACTGTGGGATACTTGGTGGGTTTTTTTTCCTTTTTTTTGTGGAACCAGGGATTAAACTCAGGCCTTGGGTCCGGGCAAGCACTTACTCTACTGAGCCATCTCCCCAGCCCCATTTGGTGTTCGTCAGATGAGTGCACATCTGCTATTGCTACTCCCAGTCTAGGTTCTGAGTGTATAATGGAAAACAAGCTGCTTGCCTCATAGAGCTTCCAGTGTACTGGGAGATGCTGCGTGGTCAGATGAACGGATGAGTAACTTGTTGAAATTCTGCTGTGTCGTCATCCCATCCCCCACCCTCCCCACTGCCACTAGCTACTTTGTAGGATATAAAGGTAAACATTGGTTTGTGAATGACTCTCACAGGAGCTGTGAGTGAGGGACCTGGGTGTGTGGAGACATCCATTCCTTGACACTGCTTCTAGGGAGGCCCCCTGTGATCCGCTGGTGTTGCTCAGGCCAGAGCTGTGACAGTACCATGCTGAGGGACCAGAGCCTCCTTCGCATGGGACAGCTGCTAAGCCTGGCCTAAAGACACCCTGGCGATTCCTTCTTTTTTTTCTTTCTTTTTTTGTATATATAATTTATTTTTTTATTGAAAAATATTTATGAATGAGGCAGTTTCACAGCTGATTAATAGGACAGTTTTGATAGTCAATACACTGTACATTGTTATCTTCTTAGTGGTTATCTATAGTACAAGCAGCAGACAGGATATTCTTTCCAAACACTGTTAGTACACCTCTTTCTTCTCATTGAGTTAAGTGAAAGTAGCTGTAAATGTATCCTAACTATTTTGTATATATAAATACAAAATGATCTTTCCTTTGTATCTTTTTTTTAAACTTTTTATTTATTTTTATTTTTTGTCCTGTCAGAGGTGAATATTCTATTGGCATCTCAATACTATAGGTGTTTGAATTCAACTAAACAATCTAACACTGTCTAGCAGTCTATAATATTAGTGGGTTATCCTCAGAAGTTATTGACTTGAGCCTTTTACAGCTCATCATATTAATATGGCTTTACTTTATATACCTCATTTTTATACTTTTCTGCTGGATGGTTAAGACCAAGATAAAGCAAAACCTATATACCCAGAAATGTAACTTTTGTATCTGGTAAGGTCAGCCAAGTACTCTCAGGATTTATCCTGCAGCCCTGTACCGCCCTTGGTACATCCTTTTGTCAGTGTCAGACATGAGGATGAGTCACAGCCATTGCTTGACCAATTTGCTGTCTGTGAAAGCTTGAGAAAATGTTTTTTCTCTCCATGTGACTCTCCCCAGGCTCACTTTAGATCATTGAACACATTTCTCTGTGGCTCCGTAATCTTACTGAGTCCTTCTTGATCTGTCCTTGTTTCAGAAGTCAGAAGAATCCAAGTTCACCCACCCAGCCTCTCTGCCTCAGCACCTACCTTCTCAGCAGCTGGTGTGTAAGGATCAGGATGAGCAGGAGGAACTAGATTTCCTGTTTGATGAAGAGATGGAACAGATGGATGGACGCAAGAACACCTTCACTGCCTGGTCTGATGAGGACTCTGACTATGAGATCGATGACCGGGATGTCAACAAGATCCTCATCGTCACCCAGACACCACCTTACATGCGCCGGCACCCTGGAGGGGATCGCACTGGCAACCATACCTCTCGTGCCAAGATGAGTGCTGAGCTGGCCAAGGTCATTAATGATGGGCTCTTTTACTATGAGCAGGACCTGTGGACTGAGAAATTCGAGCCTGAATATTCCCAGATCAAGGTGAGACTTCTGCAGCAGTGTGGTTTTGGTACCTGTAGTGTGTGGAGAAGGTGCCTCACTAGGTGTGTGTCCCTGGGCACATCCTCCAGTCCAGAGCCTCGTGTCCTCATCTATGAGAGGAGATGGTTGATAGCTTGCTGGGCCCTTGAGAACAGGAATGTGTGAACACTTGTCAGTGTGTGTGGGGGGGGGATCTGTTTTGCCTGAGCATCCATAATTAACATATTAATGTCATTTGAGTTGGCAAGACATTTTTGTGGCAAACAGAATGATGCTTAAGAATTCTTTCTAAAGTGAATTAGAAAAATACAATTAATTAAATGTGTATAAGAGCTTTTTTAAAAAGACATTTTTAAAAGAGCTTTATAGAAAGTGGACAGCAGAGAGGTCTAGTTGACATGTCACTTTTCAGAGTATGTTTGGTGGTGGGAGCCTTTGGTGGTAGTGTGTGTGACAGGTAGGAATGTGCTTGGTGGGGCTGCTGGGGTGCCTGCAGGGAGAGTAAGGCCAGCACTGGCCTCTGAATTAGCATCTGTGTGCCAAGGCAACTGGGGTTGAGGAATCGTGATGGGCAGCTGAGAGTCCAAGGACTCAGGCCCGTGCATGTGCGTGTGGGCCCTGCTCTGCATACTCCTGCCAGGCTTGATTCCTGAGCAGGCTAGAGCAGCTTGCTGACTGATGTCATTTGTCACCCATCTCGCTTCCTTCGCAGCAAGAAGTTGAGAACTTCAAGAAAGTCAACATGATCAGCCGGGAGCAGTTTGACACACTGACCCCAGAGCCCCCTGTGGATCCCAACCAAGAAGTTCCTCCTGGGCCACCACGGTTCCAGCAAGGTGAGGGGCAGGGCCTGAAGACCTGGTTTGGGTGAGAGGGACTGGGTGCCTGTTTCTGCTTGCTGACCCTTCTCTGTCTGTGCAGTTCCCACTGACGCCCTGGCCAACAAGCTGTTTGGTGCTCCTGAGCCCTCCACCATCGCCCGCTCTCTCCCAACCACTGTCCCAGAATCGCCAAACTATCGTAACGCTAGGACCCCCCGCACACCCCGGACCCCACAGCTCAAAGACTCAAGCCAGACGCCACGGTTTTACCCCGTGGTGAAAGAAGGACGGACACTAGATGCCAAGGTGAGGCTCCTGCTGGCCTGTGTTCTGGGCCCACTTATTAGCCTTTGGTGTTTGATTTCTCTCACCTGCCTATGTGAACCGGGCCGGTGCCAGGGGCCCTGTGTGCTCTGACCTCAGGCTGAAAGGCTCTTTTCAGAACACACCAGGCTTAGGAGTGGTGGCTGAAGGAGGACTGAGCAGGTGCAAGTCCCCAGGTAGATCACCTCGCTCCCAGACTGCCATGTTCTGACCTGTGAAGTAGCTGGACCAGTTGCTGCCTCACACCTTGAGCATTATGTGGGAGAATAGATAGGGGAATGCTATTGTAACAGTGAGGTGCTGTGCACACAGCAGGATATCTGTTCTTGTAAGGCTCCTTGAAGCTCCTCAAAGTTGGAGGAGATCAGCTAATAAGACCTGGACTGACCTTTGCAGATGCCTCGAAAAAGGAAGACAAGGCACAGCTCCAACCCACCTTTGGAAAGCCACGTGGGTTGGGTGATGGACTCCCGAGAGCACAGGCCCCGGACTGCATCCATTAGGTACTGGGGCATTGGGGGAGGAGAGAGCGGGCTACCTGTGGGATGGGATCCTGACCAGGAGATGCACCAGTTGGTCGGGAATAGCTAAATGCAAGCAGCCGATAATAGGGAAACCTTATGCCAGGGCTTGGGAAAGGGAAATATTTTGAAGTGCTATCACATATACATGAGACCTTGGTCTGGTAACTTAGAGAGGAAGTATCTCTGAATTAATTTCCAAATCTGGGTGTCCACTGCTTGCCTAAAATCAGGTGGCCAGGTAAAATTACGGGGTTTTAGCCAGCCACAGTGGCACACATCTGTAGTCCTGGTACTGAGGCAGAAGGGTCTCAAGTTCAGGTTCCATCTGGTTAATTAAACGACAGGCCCTGTTTCAAAATAAAATATAAAATGGTCTAGGGATATAGCTCAGTGGTAGAGCAACCTTGGGTTCAGTCCCCAGTACTTGGGGGGAATGCATCAACAGGAGATGTAAGTCAGGCATAGGCCAAGGGTTTAGCATGCCTTAGACTGTGGGCTCAGTGCCCCATAAAGAAAACCAGTTTGTTATCCCAGCTGTTCTGGAAGCTGAGGCAAGAGGATTACAAGTTCACAGCCCAGCCAAGGCAGCTTAGGACTGGACTGTAGCTTGGTGGTGGAGTGTTTGTCTCGTGTGCTCAAGGCTCTCGATTCCTTGGCCTCACTGTAGTTCCATTGACCCCTCCTTCTCAACATAGAGCTCAGACTTTCTTTTTCTATGTGCTGTGAAGTAACTTGTGTTTGTTATCTGTTCTAAGCCAAGATTTAGAATTTACTAAAAGCTGAAAAATCTGCAAGTGTTTTGAGAAAAACATACACAGATTAATGCGTGATAAGTTGTTAAGGAAGTTTTTTTTTTTTTAATTTAGTACAAGGTCCACAGGGTCTTACTATGTAGTTTGGACTCGTAGTGATTTTCCTGTTTTCAGCCTCCCAAGCTTTGGGATTACATGCGCGGGCCACCACTCCCAGTCTCAATCACCCTCTCAGCGCTGGCACTGCACACTGGGAAGGGAAGATAAATGTTACAGTTTAGATTAATAAGTGATTAGATGTTCAGATTTTGGGCATTGGACAGCTCTACCATTTAATTGCTTCTCTGCCCTAGAGGAGTCTCACAGTCTCCACAAGCCTCAGTGACTTTTCCTAAAACCTTTGAAGAGTGATTTGAAAAAGTTTGTCAGAACTTTGGATGTAAGTTATGAGGCCCCTGCCTGACAGTGTGGATCTTTGTTCATAGATGGCCTTAGAAGGACCTCTCCTCACCTAATGGTAGGCCCACTGAGAACCTGGTGACACTGTCTTTCTTGTTGTCTCTGTAGTTCTAGCCCCTCAGAAGGGACACCTGCAGTTGGCAGCTATGGCTGCACTCCTCAGTCACTGCCTAAGTTCCAGCATCCTTCCCATGAGCTGCTCAAGGAAAACGGCTTCACACAACATGTCTACCACAAGTATCGGAGGCGCTGCCTTAACGGTAAGAAGTGATGGAGCATGCTGACCCTCTGGGTCCAATTAGTACAGTGCTCATTCCCAAAGTGTAATAGCTACAGGACAGGCAGTAGGTAACTTTTTTTAACCTTAGAAGAAGTGACATGACATAATAAGAAAGACTAAAGTCAGGTTCAGGGTTGTGGCAGATGCTTTTAAAGTGCAGAAAGCTAAATACACACAATATTCCTATTCCTTGATACTTCTCCATTGATACAGAAAAGGATAATGACTTGTGTCTCTGGCAGGATTGCCAACTGCCATTGCCCAGTGTGGTCTACTATCTGTCATAGAAGTATGCAGAGGGTAGATGGTATTCTATGGGACACAGGTTGCCATGTGGCTGAATCCAGCCAGGGAACTGTTGGATGGTTCTGGAGCTAAGAACGGTTTTTTACAACCCCTTAAGGTTGCAAGGGAAAAAGTTGAGGACAGATTATGTTGCCTGCAAAGCCTAAAATACATTCTAATGTTTTATAGTATGATTTGCTCATCTGTGCTTTAGGAGACAGTATAAACCTTAATAGACGCTCTCACTATTTTCTTTTGTCACAAAATGGGAGGCCTTTAATTGTACATACTGTGTTAGATTGACAGCAGTTTATAAAGCCTGGGTACTATATTCTTGGTTCATCTGTGTGTGTGTGTGTGTGTGTGTGTGTGTGTGTGTGTGTGTGTGTGTGTGTGAGAGAGAGAGAGAGAGAGAGAGAGAGAGAGAGAGAGAGAGAGAGAGAGATAACTTTGTTGGGATATAATTCAAACACCATACCCTTCAGTTATTGTGGCCTTTAATATATTCACTGTTGTGTATCCATTACCAGAATTAGGCATAGGACGTTACCTCAAAAAGAAGTTCTAGGGGGAAAAAAAAAAGAGGTTCTCTACCACCACTGCTCATTCCTCGTGCCATGAACTTTACACCCCCCTCCAGCCCTATAGAACTACCAGTCTGCTTTCCATTTCTGTGGCTTTGCCTGTTCTGGATATTTGACATACATGGAATCTTAGTATGTGATGGTCCTTTGTGACTGACTCCTTCCTTGCCCTTAGTATATTTTGAGGGTTTGTTCAAGTTGTAGTATATCAGTACTCCATTTCTTTTTGTTTTCAATGGCTAAATTACATTCCATTTTATTACCAGTCACATTTTGTTCTTCAGTTGATTGGTGTTAGGAGTTTCCGCTTTTGTCTGTTATAAGTAGTAATGCTACTTACGTATTCTCATGTACATTTTCTCTATGAACTGAAATTTCCATTTTTCTTGGGTGAAGGGTGGCATTGCTGGGTCATTTGGTAGCCATGGTAACATGGTAACCTTTAGGGAACTTCAGGACTGCTTTGTACAGGGACATCTCCACATTACACTCTTTTTTTTTTTTGCGGAACTACATTACACTCTCATAGCAGTCCATAAAGATCAGCTTTTTCTACTTCCTCCCACGCTTGCTGTTGTCTATCTTTTATTACATTCACCTTACAGGACATAGAGTGGATTTCTTGTTGTTTTCATATGCATTTCCCTGAGAATTGATATTGAGGATTATTTTTATATGCTTATTGACCATTTGTGTATCTTCTTGGAGAAAAGTCTTAATTTTTTAAAGCTGTATAATTTGTCCTACTAAATACAAGAATTCATTGTGTACTCTGGATATAAGTCCTATGTCTGATATGTGATCTGCAAATGTATTCTCCCACCCTGAGGGTCATCTTTTTCGCTGGGGTTTAAACCCAAGGCCTTCGGACTGAGCCAACTCCATAGTCCATTCATCTTTAAGCAGGGTTGCTTCGTTGTCCCACTTGGGTTTGAACTTGTGCCTTACCTTCCCAGAGTGATGGGATTACAGGCATGTGCTATGATACCTGACTTTTTTCATTTTTTTGATGCAGAGGTTTGTGTGGCTGTTTTTGGTGGTTTTTTTGTTGTTGTTGGCTTTTTGAGACAGGGTCTTGCTATGTAGCTTAGGCTGACATTGAGCTCATTTTGTAGCCTACACTTGTCTCAGACTCAAAACCATCCTCCTGCCTTTGTCTCCTGAGTGTTGGGATTACAGGTGTGTGCCACCACACCCAGCTGTTTGTTTTATTTTATTTTATTTTTTTAAATTTATTTATTTTATTTATGTGTGTGTGTGGCCAGCTCAGCCCACCAGGGGGCGGGGCTGGCTGGCATGTGGTGCTGGGGGATTGAACCGCGGTCCCTGTGCTTTGCCAAGCTTGTTCCAAGTAGGTGCTTTAGACCACTGAGCCATCTCTCCAGCCCTCAGCTGTTTGTTTTAATGATGTGTGTTTCTGTACTAATTTTGTTGTTCCTACTTTTTTTTTTTTTGTGGAACCAGGGATTGAACTCAGGCCCTTGTGCTTGCCAGGGAAGCACTTATTCCATTGAGCCATCTCCCCAGCCCCTGTTGTTCCTTCTTTTGTGTAATTTCTTGGTATTATATTTTCTACTTGGTAATAGTGGCAATGAGCAAAATAACCAATTGTTAGAGAATATTATCTGTTCATGTTTTGCCTTGTTATGCCTACACTTGAAAATGGTACCACAGGGCCATGGAGATGGCTCAATAGAGTAAGTGCTTCCCTGGCACGCTCAAGGGCCTGAGTTCAGTCCCTGGTTCCACAAAAAAAAAAGAAAAAGAAAGTAGTACCAGCTGAGATGAAGATGGCCTAGTTGTGAAGCTGGTGCCCACATTTGAGCAGCCACCAGTGGCAGGGCTTGGGACAGAATAGTGAATGCACAGTGACTTTCTGCTGGGTGATGAAGCAGCCCTTGATGAGGCTGGTAGAAGTCTAGGACAAACTCTCACACGTAGCTTCCTTCCCTCCCTGTCAGAGCGGAAGCGCTTGGGCATTGGCCAGTCTCAGGAGATGAACACTCTGTTCCGCTTCTGGTCCTTCTTCCTCCGAGATCACTTCAACAAGAAGATGTATGAGGAGTTCAAGCAGCTGGCTTTGGAGGACGCCAGAGAGGGCTACAGGTACGTGGGCAGGTGGGCTCTGCTGGCCTCTGGGCTGATGAAGAGCCTTGAGGCTCACTGAGAGCCAGGGTTGGGAATGCCTGCATGTATTCACGCCATGTGGATGGATTACTCATAAACAAGTACTGTAGTAAATTCACATGGTTCACATTGCAAAGAGTTTCGAAGGGCATTTCGTGTAGTCTCCTCCTCAGCCAGGTCCTCTGCTGTCTAATTTCTTTCCCCGTAAGTAGCCAGTACCATTACTGACTTTTGGTTCCTCCGTGTGAGTTAGTAGTTGCCTGCCTTCTCCTCCCCCAATGACGCAATCCTGTTTGTACCAAAGACAGCCTCCTACGTTATGTACAGGATTGTTATTACTACTTTTTCTTTTTTAACACTTTGCATTTTTTCTTAAAACTTTATTTTGAAAATTGTTCTGGGGCCAGGGAGATGGCTCAGTAGAATAAGCACTTGCCTGGCAAGCGCAAGAGCCTGATTTCAATCCCCAGTTCCACCAAAAAATGAAAAAGAAAATTTCCATATTTGTACCATAGCATGGACTTTGTCTCAAAAAGACAAGAGAAAAAATACTCTGGTAGCGTTGCATTACATATAAGTCACTGTCCATAAATGAAGGGTCACACTTTTACTATTGGACAATACTGCCTTTTTTTGGGCCCAGGAGATGGCTTAGTAGAATAAGCACTTGCAAGGGCCTGAGTTCAATCCCCAATTCTGGAAGAAGAAGAAAAAAAAAAAAAACCTTAATACTGCCACCGTGCCCCCCCCCCCCCCCCCCTTGAACTTGGGACCTTGCGCTTGTCAGGCAGGCGCTTAGGCCTTGGAGCTATCTCCCTAACCCAGGTACAGACTGCTTTAAATAGCACAGCAGCCGGAGATGCTGGCAGGAGCACAGTATGTGGACTAAACAAGGAAGGGTGAACTCCCACGTGAAATGCCATTTGTTTAGTAATAGCACGCGGCTGCAAATGGCAGGAACACAGAACCTTTTTTTTAACGCTTCCTTTTATCGCTTCCTTGATTTTCATAGTAGATGTGTTCTTTGTGTGTAATTTGAGTGTTCAAGGAGACAACAAGGAGTGACATAACCACCATCGAGGCTGTCCTGAGTGTACTTTTGATTCTTACTGTTTATAAGCATGGGCATTTTTCCATGTTGTTAAAATGTTTAACTGCTTTTCCTTCATACAAAAGCTGTTAAATGCTTTTTTAGAAAGTATTGCTTTGCCTTTTGGGCTTTGCATACATGCGTGAATATGAAGTTGACATTTATGAGCATGACACCTTGAAACCTATTTTTCCATTTGACAATGCATGTAGTGCAAACATTTTTCATTGTCTCCATGCCTATTTACACTAGGTTTTTTTTTTTTAACAATCCATATTCCATGTTTATTTATAGTGGATTTATAGTGGTATTTAGCTGCTTCTCTGTAACAGTTTTATTCAGTAAGGCTGCTATATCCTAGCTGACGATGCTTACGTGCCTTGGCAGAGAGTTCGTACCAGAGCTTGGCAGTTCTTGTGTAAATGCACAGATAAGCCAGGCACAGTGGTGTGCACTCCCAGCACTCCGGGAGGCTGAGGAGAGAGGGTCAGAAGTTGGAGCCCAGTCTGGGCAAGCTTAGTATGGCCCTGTGTCAAGGAAAAATAGAGCTAGTAAACGTTGTAGGGTTTGTGGGTTGTGAGGCCTCTATCCAGCCACTCAGCCCTGCTCTGACAGCAGAAAGCAGCCAGGCGCTGTGTGATGGAAGGAGTGAAGCAGTAAGGGTTGTGGGGATGGATGGAGGCCACTGACCCATGGTAAAGCTTGAACATTTGATCCTGAAGCTCCTTAGACTAGCTGAAAGTGTCCACCTTCAAAAGTATTTGCCTTTTTTTTTTTTTTTAATGCAGGAAGAGCTCATTGTTTTAAACTCTCCTAGTTCCCTATGTAGGTACATGTCCCTGTTCTACACGTGAACACACTATACCCTGACCTTTGCAACTTGTCTTCCCACAGATATGGTTTAGAGTGCCTTTTTCGATACTACAGTTATGGTCTAGAAAAGAAGTTCCGGTTGGACATATTCAAGGATTTCCAAGAGGAAACTGTGAAGGACTATGAAGCTGGTAAGAGTTCGAGTTGGTTCTCCATTTGCCCTGACTCTCTGTAGGCCTTCTTCCCTCCTGTCCAGTTCCACCTAGGTCATCTCTCCTGTCCCACACCTCCTGCTCTGTAGCCTCTTCACAGTCTAGCTTCTCACTGCCTTTCTGTCCTCCCCTCTTTTCCTTATAGGCCAGCTCTATGGGTTGGAGAAGTTCTGGGCCTTCTTGAAATATTCCAAAGCCAAAAATTTGGACATTGACCCAAAACTACAAGAATACCTCGGCAAATTCCGACGTCTAGAAGACTTCCGAGTGGACGTAAGTGAAAACACTTTGTGTTCTTCCAACTCTGCATGTGTCGGCTGTGCTGGAGAGACTCGCTCCAGGAGTCAGTGGGCTTGGGTTGGGTCCCAGCTGTGCCACAGCCCAGAGAGCCCCAGTTTGGGTTCTGTATTCCATTTCCCCATCTGAAGTGGATGGTGAGGGTAGATAGACGGGAATGCCAGGTGCAGAGTTGTGTGGCTGCTCCACTCCTTGCTGTGTGTACTGCTAAGATGTGTTAAGGAGAGGTACAGCTCTCCTTGCTACTGTGCCCAGGTTCAACACTAAGAGTCAAAAATAGGAACTCCGGAAGTACAATTTATGCCAGGATTGACTGCACATGAGAAACGTGTTTGTCCTTTCCAAACAAGATAAGTTCCTAGTTCAGAACTTTGTAAATGGATGTCCATGGCTTCCCTGTTTTTAGGATCAATGCCTCAACAGTGACTTCCAGTGGTGAGCCTAGGTTATTGTTAGTATATTGTCAAGGACCCTGGTTGGAGTTACTCAGCAGATTCTGATTGGATGTCTCTGTGCCAAGTCCTTCAGGGACTCCAGAGATGAGGGAAAGACTCTTGAAAGAATTTATGGTGGCAAGGACCATGGCTCAGTAGTGAAGTGTATACTTAAACTGCCATTAAGTATTTATTCTGTGTAGGGAGCACTCTGTGTATACACTGCTGTCTCTGAATCTAAGGATAATGAGGTAGGCGGGGTGTATGACTGTCTTCCACAAATGAGTGAACCACTCAAGGATGTAGAGTCGGTACCTGTCAGGTCTCTTGGTGTCAAGAGAACCCATTCGGGGGTGGGGAGGGCGGTGTAGAAAACCCTTATGTGATGGGTAGATTTATTGGAGAGTAATGGTTCACAGCTTTAGTGCCAAAAAAGGGAAGAAGTATCCTCAAAGTTGTAGAACTTTCAGTTAATGGCAGGGCCATACTAGATTGTGGTCTGATTTTCGTTTCATTGGACTATTTAGGGGCGTGAAGGAGATTGAGTGATCCCTGGAGCGTTTGTCTTTCTAAGTTCAGATACATGCTGCACACAACGTTTCACATGTTTCCTAGGCCGCAGGTCCCTTCTTAGATAGGAGCAGAAATCTGTGGATAAAAGCACGGCCTTTAGTAATAAGTGGAACTAAATTTTGTCTTGACCACTTACCATCTCTGAGATACTAGGCATGTACATTTCTGTGGCAGTTCCTCATCTGAAACATTGGTTTATGATGTCCACATTCAAGGGTAGTGTGAACCCCTTGAGGAAATGGGCATAAATCAGCACCATGCTTAGTGTTAATAGCTGGGAATTCTTGTTTAAGATGAGACCCCTTCATGATCTCCATTTACGAATAGAACACTGTCTACAGACAGCCCAGATGAGTTGCAGGCAGTGCCCCCAGTCTACCTGTGACTGTCTCTTTTGCAGCCCCCCATGGGTGAGGAGGGCAACCACAAGCGACATCCTGTGATAGCAGGCGGTGGCGGTGGTGAGAGCAGGAAGCGATGCCCCTCCCAGTCTTCCAGTAGGCCGGGTGCCGTGATCAGCCAACCCCCTACACCACCTACTGGCCAGCCCACCCAGGACGATGCTAAATGGACAAGCCAGCACTCGGACACACAGACTTTGGGAAAGTGAAAGTCCTGAGCCCCTGGGGCTTGGGGGAAGGGGCGGGGTGGGTAAGGTCCATGGAGGTGCCCGGTCCCAGGAGAGGGGACACAGAGAAGGGACAGGCCTAGTGTTCACAGGACAGGCCTGTGCTGAGGAGCTGTGTATGCGCCATTTGGGCTGTCAGAGGTACCCTGGGTAGGAGCCTATGTGCATCCCCTTCCCTTCTCTTCACGACTCTTCCATCCTAGCTTCTTCTAAGGGGGGAGGGACAGGGGGAGATTTTTATATATATATATATATATATATATATATATATATATATATATATATATATATATAATATATATATATATATACATACATATATATATATCAAGTTTTAAATTATTGATAGTTTGTCTGGATTACCAAAATCACTCTTCAGCCCTGCCCGCGGCTAGTAGGCCGCAGCCCCGGTTCTCACCAAGGCTTCTTCCTGCTCCCTGAAGCCAACTATGCAGCCCACCAGAAGGCCCCGTGGCCCAGTGGCAGGTTCTGACAGCACCTGGGCCCCGGGAGAGCAGCCCCAGCCATCTGGGGCTTACTGTGGCCGCGCTCACCCCGCTGTCCCCACCCTGCCCTTCTGTCGCCTTCTGGGAGAAGGAAACCAAAGGATCTGAAAGTGGGAGTGGGTGAAGGTTCCACTTCTCTCCACTCCCTCTCCCCCTCTCCTTCCCAGCCCAGAGAAACGCTGCTCATACCAGAAAAAGACTATTGAAAGATGATTTATTTTATTTTTCTCTGACCTTTCCATCCTTGGGAAAATAAAAAAAAAAAATAAAAAAAAAAAATGAAAAAAAAAAATGAAAAAAAAAATGAAAAAATTGACCATTAAAAAAAAAATCAGAAAACTCCCTCGTGATCCATAGAAAGTGATGTCTTTCCCCTCTCCTTAGAATTTTTTTGTTTGTTTTGTTCTTGGAAATAATATTTTTTTAAAAGTTGCCTTATTGTGGAGCGGGAATCTGAAATAATACCCAAATGCCTGTTTTCCTCGGTGGTGTCACCTGAAGAGCTCCCACCTTCTCTGGGTGTGCCTGGGCATGGACTGGCTAGACTCTTCTCTGGACTCAGCTGCGTGGACAGTGCCTCCCACCAGGAGGCAGGAGAGCTAGGGCGTCGTGCGTGGGAGCCGTGCCCAGAGTATCCCTGCTGTTGCATCGTTTGAAGCTGACGTCCTGTGTCTGTGTACTGCTGCCACCGTCGTGTCCTCACTTAGCTTGCTATTACCCTCCGCCAGGCCCTGTCCCTCCCTGATACCCTTCATCCTACTCTTGGAACCCCAGGGCCAAGTTGGCTTTGAACTGTTGGGAAGCAGAGCTGGCCTAGATCTGGAAAACACTTCCCTCCTCCAGAGCGCCTTCCCCTGTGCCAGAGGGGACGGTTGAACACCTGGCAGCTGAGGCCTGACTGCATTTCTCATGTTCTGAAAAGATTGAGACCTTGAGGAGGCTTTGTCTCAAAGAGGTATCGGAAAGTATCATTGTCCTCTGAGGGCCTGGTGGGGTCTCCTCATCTTGCATCCCCCTCTGCATACCATCTCTACCTGCCCTCTCACTGACTCTGCCTGGGAACGAGATGAGGAACTGGGGCTGGGTGGGGTCCTGCCAACCGGTGAAGCCCTATGGCAGGAAGGTATATGTGGACATAGAGTATACCTGACTTCTCTTCTCCAGCACCGACCACCTGCGCTGGGCTGGGACTGACAAGGGAATGGCTGGAGTCCGCTGTCAGAAGCCAGGGAGGGTGATGGAGGACTGACCCATATAGATGGGCTTGTGCTTAGTGTGGGCATGACTGCTCGTTCACCTCCAGTGGGAGAAGTTTGTGGTCTTGTTGCTCAGTTCCGCCATGTCTTCAACCATCCTGTTCAGTGGCTTCCTCTCTGGGCCAAGAGGTGGGGAGTAGGAGACTGTACCCAGGCTGACACAGCTTGCCCTCTGTCTCGGGTGCCTCGTTGCTTTTACCCCGCCGCCCCCATGTATGGGAAGCACGTCTCAGTTCCCATGACCCATCCTCTCTAACAAAGGAGGAGTATCTGGTTTCTGTTGGGAAGGTGGCCCTTGATGCCTTGCCCTGACGGCTCAGGTTGGTGCCTGCCCCACATAGCTCCCTAC